GTCAGCTCACCTGTATTGTCTTACCTGACTCACAGCCTCTGTATAGAGCTCTATATAAAGTGTCAGTAACTCTCCGTGACGTACACGTTCATCAATAAAGGGACCATGACTCAGTCTCACATCCTGTCAGTGGCGAAGAAACAAAACAATCTCAACTAAAGGCACACTCACTCAGTTGTTCTGGAGCTTTTATTCAATTACACAGCATTCATCAGTGGATTAAGTTTGTTCAACGTTGAATTAAATGTAAATTTAAGTAGACTTAAATTAGGACTGTGTGACGTGGACTGTTTTCATGGTCAAGTTTAATTTTTTTGGGCCTTGAAATGACTAACTATAACGATGACTACTGGTGCTTCTTAGAGGACATTTACACACAGCAGTCTTCAAAGAAATCATTATTAGTTATAGGTTTAATTTCTTACTCATGACATATTAATTAATTGTCATGCAGCTTTAAAATTATTTCTAAAAAGGTATTTAGGTTAAATCAGCGTATTGTGATAAAATGTAGACTCAGTCGAATAATTGATGAGTCAACTAACTTAATCTGCTAACAACTTTTTAAATCAATTTATCGTTAACGTAATTTTTATAATCAGAAATGCCAAAAACTCACTGGTTCCAGCTTCTCAAATGTGAACTGATTTAATAATCCTCTGCGATAGTAAACTGAATATCTTTGGGTTTTGGACAAATAATAAAAAAATTCATCAACAGATTAATCAATGAAGTTTCAGGCCTTGTGTCACACTATAATACCGATCGTGTATCAATACACAATGCTTAGAGTGATCAAGAGCCCTGTGAATCTTTCCATTGTTTCCACTTTAATCCCATGTGTCAGTCGAGCCAATCGAGGAGGACCAGAGCCCTATGCTTCAAGAAACTGGAGGCTGATCCAGGATCAGAGCGACAGGTAAGGCGTGACCACGGGGGGCGATGACCTGCCAACCCACAAACATGCTGTGACATCACTCTAAGGAGGTCACGGTAATCAGATTATCCACGTCACACAGACTGACTCACCACCGAGGGCCAGCAACACTCAGCAGGTTAAAACACAGAACGCACTCTCACACACGCACGCAAGGACACGCCTTACAAAAAAACCCCAAAAACTGTAACTTGGCTCAGATAAAATTAGATGAAAAGCATGTGAGTGAGCCAGAAATAAAATCCCTGAGTTGTAAAATGTTAGTGAAGCTTCAAACGCGCGTTGACTCTGTGAGCAGTGTCACGTTTTGCTTTTGATGATTTCTTCTTCTGTGGGAGAAAAAGGAAGATTGTTTACTGAGCGCAGAAGCCGGCTGATGGAAGACAGACGAGAAGCTCGAGGGCCTGAGCTGCTCTGTAACCGCAGTGATGCCAAGTGGTCGGCGGTTTGAAGAGGACACCTGAGACCAGCGCACCTGGACAATGAGCTGAGGTGTAACCCTAAACTGAGATGAACCGCTGTTTATCCCCCGCGTTCTCCTTCTCTTGCTCTTTCCCATCAGTCTCCTCTCTCACTCTGGTCCTCGAGCTTATTCTCTCTCCTCAACTTGATCTATTCCACCCTGTCGCTCTTCACTACCAGTACTTCTACTTGGATATTTTCATTTAATGCAACTTTATACTTCTACTCCACTACATTTCAGATGGTACTTTTTACTGTGCTACATTTACTCCTAATATAATGCAGATTTAGATTATGAATACAGATATAAACTTATAAATCATTATGTATTAGTGTATTCTACCCAGCAGTATATGAAATTAGCTCCACGTTTACCAGCTGCAACATTAAAGCCCCAATATGTAACTTTTCTACCTTAAAATAACAGCTTCTGTCATTACTACTACACCCATATGCCTGTTCTTGCATTATGTAAATTTTGGTTTCGGGTTGGGTTGAGTGCGTAACTGATTTTGGTGAAACTGGATCATATTTTATAAAGATAAGGTTTTCTGGTTTTCCCTCTGATGTCCTCCGGCTGCTCCGCCTCAACTCAACTCTTGCACATTTATAGATTTCCTGATAAACAGAAAACTTTACTAGTTGATAAAAGTAAGTTAGTTATCTTATTCCGTGCTGCCCGGAGCTCAGAGCTCAGTGGGGAAGGCTGATGGGGAGCAGCGCGGGTGTCGTGCCAGAACCAGAGCTGGGTGAGCAGGCACTGTAACTGGGCTCAGAAGCATCTGCGGACTTGGCAGAGGAAAAGAGACCGAAGAGGACATTGACGGAGGAAGCTAAGAAAACACAAAGTCTTGTGTTGTTGCACTTTCTTGATGTCTAGCTGTCAGCTGTCTATATTTACGACAGTATCGCAACTGGGGGCACTAAATCGCAACAAATACCAAATCTTACATAACGTTGCTTTAAAGTAATCCAGTATCCAGTAATATATGCCATTCTGTACAGTGAAACTTTTTGGTATATTTTGATGCTAATACTTTTGTACTTAAGTCAGATTTTGAATGCAGGGCTTATAGTCCGCTTATATTACCGATACTTTTACTTAAGTAAAAGATCTGAATACTGTATTCTCCCAATCTTTGGACTCACTACCTCTCTCGTCTGCCTCTGTCTCACCCTTCTGGGCATCACCAGGCTAATGCAAACATCCCTCAGTATGGGTGTGAGTCACAGTCTAATCACATACTTAAAGATTAGCACCCACACATTTTCAGTAAGAAGAGAAAACCGGTCCCAAGCCCTTTCTGAGACATTCCGGCATCTATTCAGTTGCTATTTTCGCACAGACAATCCTCTAAATTGGGGGACTGACATTTTGCGCAGCAGCTGACAGCGGCTAGCAGCTGTATGACTCAGTGACACAGAAGCAGTGCCCATGTCACCATGGAGAAGGCAGCGTTATGGTGTTGTTGCCAAGGCTCTGCTGTCCAATACGCATCTGATCCCCCATCGTTACTGTAAGAGCCGCGCCGGGAGGAGGGAGAGATGGGAAAAGGGTATGCATGTTTAAGACATGGTAGAAAAGTGAGAGACTCAAAAATAATAAGAAGTGAGGGATTGAAGATTAGGAGACATTTCGGCAGATCAGCAGCTACACTTACTTCTGCTGTCTCCCTCTTTAAAGGCCTTTAGTCAGCATCCTGCACACTCCACCCATATTTGTACACTCCCTCCCCCCATCACTCATGACTCTTGGGATAAACACACACAGTCTGACCTGCACACACACACACACACACACACACACACACACACACACACACACACACACACACACACACACACACACACACACAGATGCACTTAGATGGTCGTTGTGCGTTATTTCTTTGATGCACCAACAACTGCAACTGCGTCTTTAAACAGCAAGTAGCACAAAGGACCAAAAATAGCACAGTGAGTTGCAGAGCAGAACTGCTCTCCTTGAAGAGGGGAGGAAAGAGGAGGAGGATGAAGAGCAGGAGGAGGTGCAGAGAGAGATGACAGGGAAAAGATGGCAGAAGGAGACCAGCTCTCCAAGACTTAGGCCTCCCTGCTGGGCTCAATTTAAGTTTCTCATCCAGTGTCAGCTCCCAGAAAACGCTCTGTATGTTGGTATTCAATGGCAACACTTGATAATCACATTTCTGTGATGTCATTAAATGATGAGGAGAAGGTAGAATGTTTGTAGATTTGTAAATGTCCCAGTGGATTTCGTGTTTGCCAGAGAAAATAATAGATGTGACCACATAGGGGACATCTAGACCGCAAACATGTCGATATCAGAAGTGGGACAATTAATCAATGCAGCAACGAATCACAATATGCTCTTCTGCAAAGGTTTATCATTTATATTTGTTACTAATATTACTCTTATTTGAGTTCTCTGGTCTGTTTTCAAGTTTTATAAAATAATGAATTTTAAAGAAATAGTTAATAATATGAAGCAATAGCCAGGACGTAGTTAGTTTATAGCTCAGCACAAAGACTCAGGGGGGGAAACAGCGGCCAAGAAATCGTCTAGTACATCAGCCAATGTCATTTACACAGGAATGAGTCCTAAAACCTGGAGATGAGTTTGCATTTTAGCACTTCTGGTACCCTCGCCTCGAAGTCAAAGGGTTTTTGGTTAGAGGCCTGAACTAAGGTCTGTGGTTAACACATGCTTCACAGATTTTGAGATTAAATAATCCAAGATCCAATGGAAATATCCCACTGGCTTTGTGTTGAAGGAACCAGGACGATGCTAACTTCTGGGTTGGCTTACAAAAGGATGTCCTCCCTGCAGCACTCAATTAAAGAGCGAAGTGATAGTAGGCTGATGCTGTTACACTTGGACAGAGCCAGGCTAGCAGTTTCCACCTGGTTCCAGTCTTTGTGCTAAGCTAAAAGACTGTCTCCTGGATATAGCTTCATATTTACCAGACAGACATAAAAATGCAATCAATCTTCGTATCTAACGCTTGACAAGGAAGTGAATGAACATATTTCTCCTAATGTAATTTCCTTCAGGCTGTGTTTGAGTTGAATTTATAAAAAAAAATCACTGATACCACTGTTACTATAGGCAACAGCCTATATATAGCCTAATCAGATTCGCATCAGTACACTTTTGTCTGATCTACTATGCAACCGAACAAAATACAGTTGTTACCCTAATTTGTTCATAAACATAAGTGTGGAGAAAAAATACACTTAGTTACTAGTTTATCAGGTACACTTACCAAAAAGTCCAATATAATACATAATATAATATATTATAATATAATATTCTGGTGTTTTCAACATTTCATGCTTCTATTGTTGTATTTTGTCTATTTGAGTGTAGACTAGACGCAGCTTTCACTGGAACGTAATATAATTCAATAGTAGCACAAATTAAAAGAGAGTTGAGAGTTTCTGTTCTTTCTGTGTTTTCTCCTTGTTCCTTCGAGCCATTTAGCTTATGTGTTAATAAAAACAACTCTTCAGTTCTCATAATATTATCACCAGTCTTGAATCAGACATTATATAATTTGCTTATTTACACAGAGTTTAAGTCTCACTTGTTTGCAGTACTTACTATTGCTGGACTTGAGGTCTCTGTGGATGATGGGTACGAACGCCTGGTTGTGCAGGTAGTCCATCCCCGTCGCAATCTGGACCGCCCAGTTCACCAGAACCCTCGGAGGAACCTTTTTTCCAGCAAGTGCTCGGTTCAGTGCCCCCCCTCTGGCGTACTCCATCACCAAGCACAGGTTGGGCTCCCGCAGGCAGACCCCGCGGAGGGCGATTATGTTGGGATGACGGAGCATCCAGAACAGCCTGGCCTCCTGTCGTACGCTCTCTGCTGTCACACTAATATCCTCATCGGGGTCCTGCCTGGCGGCCTTTACTGCTACTACTTCTGCCCGCCATACTCCTTTGTACACCTTACCAAACCCACCAGCTCCAATCACCTCCTCCAGGAGCAGCTCTGAGAAGTCTATCTCCAAGGGGCAATCACCCACCCCACCTGCCACCAGCCCTCCTGCAGCCAGCTGCTGGTAGTTGGCAGGGTCCCCCTTTGTGACGTAGTTGCTTGGAAAGATACCCACCTTGTCCTGGATCTTGCCCGTCCACCAACCCTCGTCCCCAGACACCTTGGAGTCTTTGGAGAGAACCTCGAGAAGGTCCCCGCGCCGCAGGGTTAGCTCCTCGTCTGCGGTGGCCTCATAGTCGAACACTGCCGTCCAGTAGGGGTTGGGGTTGTTGGCCCCACAGCGGTGACCAGGGTGGGAGTCTGGGGAGCCAGAGAAGGAGATGGTGGAGGAGTTCCAGCTGCTACCATTCTCCACCTGCACGACTGGCGCTGGAAACATCGGTGGCGGAGGGGTCATATTCGGGGGCATGGAGGAGGAGGTAGTAGAGGAGGGAGGCCCTGGCGGGATTAGGCAAGGGGGAGGCGGGGAGCAGCAGCCCCCACAGCTGGTGCAGGACAGGGGGGCTGCTGTGCCGCTCGCTCTGCCGTATGGGTTCATGGCAGCCTGACGGCTGTTTGATGCTGTAGGTCTGCCCTTTGTCAACTCAGGCACAAAATCCATACAGGGCCCATTGACAGAGTCGAGGTGTCCTCGACCACCAGTAGGGGGGAGAGGGGATCAGAGGATCAGAGAGCTGCAACTGCTCTCCCCCATCACCACATCTCGTTGTTGAAACTGTGCCAAACCCTGTCACCGGTTGCTGCTGTGCTGTTGCTACGCAGTGTGTAAGTAACATGTATTCCCAAAGGCAAGTTCATTCGAGGACAATGTACATCAGGTCAAACAATGACACTCAGCAGAGCAGATCCATGTGTAAGCCCCCCCTCCCCACCCCCCAAACCTAATTGACCGTTTCCACAATGTGCTCCCTTATAAAGCTGCCACAGACTCTCACAGGAGATGTGTGTTTATCAGCAGCTGCAGGTTTGATCAAATCCTTCAGATTCCTTCAGTCTGATGACTTCCTGATCAGTGAGTGAATTATGAAATTAATTGCAGACTTTATTTCTCTAACAGGTCTCTCAGTTGCTGCCAGCAGTGAATAGTTACATACTTTTAAAAACTATTTTCTACATTACTGTTAAATGTAAACAGGCTTCAAACTCTGGGCTCGTTGCGCCTTTATAGTTTTGAATCCTCTGGCCTAATAAATACATAACCTCTTCAGTAGTAAATATCAGCCCATTGATAACAGTGTCTTGACTCTGGGAGCTCCAGAGACACTCATAGGCAATAATAAAACCACAACTGATTAATTTTTAGTATGGACTATTTAGGCTGCCGATAGAAACCGCAGTCTGTGTTTAAGCTGAGTGAAATCCTCTGTGCAGGGGTCCTCATTATTTCTCATCCAGCCCAGTGTAGATGCACCTCCCCCGCCTGCCATCTCCATGAACACGGGCTGTTATCTTTCTCTCTCTAAACCGTGTTTGGAAAATATCCGCGAATATGCGCCCTACATCCAGACAAGCCGGTCCAGGCTAAATCCTACATGCATGTCCACTCATGAGCCGGTTCAACGTCCCTGAATAGCCTTGTTCAAAAAGACCACATCCATTTTAAGACAGCTGGGGCATTACAGAAACAAACAGACGGCTGATCGGCAGGTATTCAATACAGAGCTGTAAAGTGGCACCGTGATCAGCATCCAGCCAAGTCTGAGCACAACAAACCCGCCTCCGTCTCTGTGCAGCGGCCTGGTTCAGTCGCCTCTGCTGGGCTACATTTGTGATGGAGACGAGTCCTCGGTTAGAAGAGAAACTCTTCCTCACTGGAGACAGTAAAGGGATGCCAGCATATATCATTATCCTGCTGCCTCGAGAGCACGCATGTTTAGTTTCAGATCATCAATCAAGTAGTAATAATGTCCACGATTTCTTCAGGAAAGACAGAAACCATCACACGGTGGCAACAAGGTGGAAAATATTGTCAGCGGAGGTTTGCACTGAGCCATTGCAGCTTTACACAATCTCTGATCCGAGTGGACGAGATGAAATAAGGCAATGAATAGATCTCCCTCGGCTCCATGTTTCCTTCATCAATAGAGACAAACTGTCTTAATAATAATAGTAATTACTACTGATATTATAATAACAATACGCGTATTATTATGCGTGCTAAATGTTGTTGGTATCCAGTCCCTGGTTGCGTCTTCCGCCCCTAACAGCGCAATTTCAATACGTAAACAATTCGCGTTTACTGTAACCTAACCTGGACACTGAGGGCAGCAACATCCACCGACATCGTCGCATGGGCGTGTGGTTGCATCCGAGGAAGAGGGACCATCCAGGTCAGTAACCCAATTTTGGCGACAAATGAAAAACGCCTCCGGGGAGTCCTTGTTGGTTCTGCTCAGCCAGCTGTCCGCAGCACCATCGTACTCAAACAGGCTTTAACTCTCCTCTCCACAAAAAAAAACAACCCAGACGTGACATTTCGAGCAGCGAGCTGTCAGTCTGTGGGCTGACTTTGCATCCAAATACACCGGGGTGCTGTTCGCATACGCCGCGGACAAGCGCTCCCTCTGTCGCTGATCTGTAACACACAGGGATGGTTGAAGTGCGCAGCCTGTGTGCGCACTTATGCCCATCACATGCGTGCAGCTCGGCCGTGCGGGGCGGAGGGGAGGACACTACTCTGTTGGAAACGAGACTGCTCTGCTGGAGTGTGAGGGAGGGCCGTTGCATTGTGGGTAATGTAGTTTCTGAGGAATCTCCTGCTGACCTACATCATTCTGACAGCTCATATAACTAGATAGCAACTGGCAATATTATAATCATAAGGAAGGGGGATTAAAGATGTAGTTAGGCCTAATTTGTTCTCTGCTACAGTGCATTGCCCTGTTGCCTTAAGACTAACATTTAGCATTGTGATAATGTGATACAGTGATAGAGTAATACTAACTTTACTCTCACTGGAAAGAATAGTTTCCTCGTCACATAGTCGGGGCTTTGTTGGGAGAGTGTTGCTCAAGGAGACTTTGAGGCTCATATAGTTTAAGAACAGTGAATCCAAGATTAGATTAATGAAATAATTGCCTAGCAAACATGTGGGGTGTTTTTTGAATGCAAGAAGAGCATAAAGTGAAGGGAAATAATGTCATAACTGTTATTGACATTGCATAAGATTGCATGGTTGAGGGTCTTGTGCACAGACACAGTAAGTTGTTGGATCACAGTGAGTATAATTAAAACTGAGAATACATAAATAATGCCCATCTAAAAATAATAATATGGAATAATAATAATAATCAATGGGTTATTCAGACAATATACAGTCAGTGGTAGTATTCACACCCATCAATTGATTAAGCTACACTGCCCCCTGGTGCCTAATAGGTGAAACACAAAGTATTTAGTAGCGGGTCAGTGTCTTTTTTCAGAAATATGCAATGTTAGAAATTAGTACTAATTAAGTACATTTACTTAAGTACCGTACTTAAATACAATTAAGACTTTTTTTTTTTTTACAGCTTTTACACAGAAAACCTATAATGAGTTTCTAATTGTTACATATAAATATTGGTATTGGTAAAGTTAGTTCCACATTGACATTAATAGTATGTTAATGATAATCAGATAATATAGTTTATGGTAGCACCACAGGGTGACTCTGCTGCCTGATGAATACTTTTATTTAAGATAATTTAAGTACTTTTGTACTTTTTACTTTACTTGTAACATAATATTTTTTACGGTGTAATTTCACTCAGTATCATTTGAGTCATACTTTGTTTTCTTCATTAAACAGGACCAACTTCAACTTTTCAAGTCCACCTTTTTTCTGTAATTTTGTTTGTTTGTTTGTTTGTTTGTTTGGAGAAACCACTTCCTTCAAACTATCCGGATTTCCTGTATTCTTCCACTCTCCGATCCCTCCAGAGGGCCGAGGTGGAAGTCAATAAGGCTGTGACCTCTCTGTTGTGGGACAGTTCTGCCACCTCATTGTCAACATTGTCCTCTAGTTCAGAGACAGCTGAAACCAGGATGAGTACATTGGACAGGTTGTAGGTTTTGTTATTAAAGCTGATCAGAAAACTTTCTTTCTTTCTGGCTGCTACATTGTTGCCTAAAGACCAGAGAGCAGATATTTGCAGGAAATATAGTTTTGGTTTGCAGAGAAATACACATCTTACAATACACTGAGTGATGGGTCCATAAATAAAGCTTATAGTATTTTGCAATGTAAATCCATTATATACACAAAAGCCTGAATATACTGTCCATATACTGTCTACAAGACGTCTCTTTAATACTTTAATTACACATTATAGAGGGAAAAGGTAGAAATGTGACGTTGTATTACTTTGTCAATACGTAACTAACTGTATTTTTATTTCATTTATTTAATTTAATCAGACAGGTCACCAATGAACTTGTTCCTGAAGATGGTCTGATTACATCTACATGATAAGACCTGTCACTTATCTGATAGAGTCAGTTATTCTTTTTTATGAATCTATTGACTGTTTGACCCCAATATATGTTTATATTTAAATGTAATGTTTCTTCATTTAAAAAATGAAGACTGTAGTTTGTTGTCTTTATCTTTTAATTAATTGTGGTTGCTCTTGCTGTTGATGTTTTCTAGTCTTTTCTGGGAGGTATTAGACAATTGATCAAAGTGACAAAGATAATATTGACTGAATAAAAAACAAAACAAACAAATCAACACTGGGTTTTAGAAAGGAGTTATGCATGTTGATTATATTTAGTTTTTAAACTCATTGCTGACATACACTGTACGGCTGATTATGTTTACCAACCACAAGGTTGTGCTATTGACTAATTTATGTGCGATGCATTAACACAACTCGACCATACAACACAATAAACACACAGAATACTTCTCTAGTGTTATTCCTAAAAGAGTTTGAACTCAGATGTAGTTTCCAAATGCCTTTAATAGTCACAGTTAAACTCTTGTCACATCTACCAGATGGGCAATAAAACAGCCCCAGCAGTAGTAGTCTGCTGCCCCCTGTGTGTTACTATCAGTAGCTTGCGCCAACCAAAGCTGCGCATGCGCAGTGAGCGCGGGCGCAGCTTCGCCGTGGTTTCGGTTGAGCATTCTTGGCAACGTCTCGCTCGGTGAACAGGCAGCCAACCGTCGGCCAACGGCTGTTTCCACAATGTCTGGAGAATTATTTTAACGGATAACAGGAGCCGAGCGGAAACACCGGAGCGGCGCCAGGTAAGCTGCTTCGGGCTCTTCTCGCTTCTCTCTCTGAACAGTTTTTAGTTGAGCAGTGCGGGCGATTCAAAAGCGCTGAAAAGTGACGAGTGAAGTAAACGTTAGCGCAAACACCGAGAGGCAACCGAGCCGACCAACTTCAGTGAGTGCCGAGAGCAGGCTCCTTACTACGGCTCAGCCGTTGGGCTCTGGGCTGCCGGGAACCGTTCACACCGGCTCGCTGCTTCACTTCGACCTCCGGCCACTCAGCAGAGTACATACATACCCTCAAATGTGCCGCCAGCCGCAAAAAAAAAAAATGCCATTAAAGAGCAAAATATTCTACAACCTTCCCGATCAGTAAGGTTCCACTGCGCATGCTCGCAGCGCCGTGCCGACTTCGGATTTGTAGTTTTTCGTACCTGAGTTAATCACAGTTGTGAGGGCCAAGAGAAAAACGGTAAGACTACAAGTTCCAGACAATGGGAGCTTTGTTTGGGAGCGGAGCTAGCCAGCTAGTTAGCCCGGACGAGCTTTGAATTTAGAGTAGTTGTGCTGCAAATCGGAAGTTCCCTCGGCTGGATGTTTTGTTTCAGAATGAGCTGCATGGGGGGAAATATGGGCTGTACGGTTGCACACACGTATTTATTTATTTATTTATTTCTATGAGTGCTGCAGTAGTTGTCAGTGGCACTGGGTTTGTGCAACATGTTTTAAATGTGGTCATAAAAATTAGGGGATTGCTCGTGCTTTGGTGGTTGAACAGGCGGACTCTTGTTCAGCTGTCAGTAGGTGTGTGTGTGTGTGTGTGTGTGCGTGTGTGTGTGTGTGTGTGTGTGTGTGTGTGTGTGTGTGTGTGTGTGTGTGTGTGCACAGTGGGAAGGATGTGCAAGTGCGTAGTAGCCGTGTGTGTGTGTGTATATATATACCTGCATGTGTGTTTGTGCGGTCAAGTGTGTATACTGAATGGGGAGGTGATGATCCCCTCGGTGGCTCGTCTCCCTTTCATAGAGGTCCCCCCCACCCACCCCGTGTTGCTGCTGTATTCCCCAGCCCTCAGGAAATGACACGTCGAGTATCAGGATGATGGATCTGCCGTGCAAGAGCAGCAGAGCATGGCAGCATTGCATATATTCTGGGCATCATTTACTCTGGTTCCCTTCCCATCTGGAACTAATGGAATAATTATTACCAGGGAAGATCTGAGAGTGATGTTTTAAGTGTCCTTACGCTGGTTATGCTACCGCTTACCCAGCCTGTAACTGCACATGTGTTGAGCACAGCACTGCCCCTCTGTTTGCTGTGCGATGGAGGCATTTAATCTTCAGTTTGAGAGAGAGGAGATCAGATTTGAGTGCAGTTAATACAGGTCTGAAACGTAAAGTTTATGCTGAATAAGAATTACATGGTTCTTCATATTGTAAACCCAGTTTCCTTTGATCTGAGGCTGTGCACCAGACAGCAGAATTTAGATAAAACATTTTCTTATTTTTCTAGTTTTCATGGAGAAATTCACATCTTTAAAGCGGATGTTTGTGAAACTGAGCAGAGTTACTATTTATGGCCTCTGCCCGTCCAGTGTTGTATCTTTTTAGCTGAAAATCTAAATCATGTTACACTTGTTAAGTGAATCAGACACACTGCTCTTGTGAAACCTTCTTAGTTTCCTATCTTTTAAAACTCTCTACCTGTCTGACAAAGCTAAAATCCCATTAATTGATTGTTGAAAAAAATAATATTTGCAGTACACTTGTAGTTCAGCATGCCTTATTGCACCAGTGAGTGCAGCTGCATGTCCCTGCAAGCTGCGTTTGATGGATGTATTGTCAACAACAGGAGCTTGTTAAGTAAAAGAGACGGCGCAATCCTACAGAAAGTAGTAGTTCAGACTCCGGTGGTGGTACATTGTTGCAGGTAGAATCATCAAATACAATGATTATGTTATTAAACTTCAGTTTAACTCCTTAAATCCACTATTGTGTGGAGCTTTTATACAGTGGGGTGTGTGATGCTGCTGTAGGCATAGTGTAATAGGCCCTTTTTACTTGTCACAGCATGCAAAGGAAAGGGGCCAACAATAACAAAGCCCTTACAATATAACAATATAAAAATTTCCATTGACATGAAAAGTTTGTTTTTAATATTATTATCATTCTTCTTCAAATATCTCTTTCTTAAAGATCTAGTATCTCCAATTTCTCTGGTTAAACCTCACCTTTCCAATTAAAACTGTAGAGCAAGAGTTGCTCTAAAGTTCATAAATATATTTCATAACTTTTGGATTTTGTCCAGAATATGTTTTCCTGCCAATTTTACACAATTAGCGTAGTCCTGCCAGCTCCCTAATATCTGTACAAGCATGATTGCTCTGGTATTTTTACAACAGTATCACATTATCCGTGCTAATCTACACTCATTTCATAACTTTGGACCCACGTCACATAGTTGTAAAGCACCTCCAGCAGTCAGGTTGTAGTTGGCTCCACTGGGTACCAGATAACAATTGCTTACAGTCTGTGATCTTGAGGCACATCTCATATTTTGTGCTACTTATTCTGGTGTTTCATTGCAAACAGCTGCAGGAACAAAGGATCCTGTCTTCAAAGAGAGCTGAATGTGGGCCACCTGAGTTATTTCGCCTGTAAACATTACATTGAATCACCACGTCCTATCTTGGCAGAGGTGACTCATCAGTAGTTGATTTCCCCCCTGTTTCTTTATTCTTGACAAGGATCTTAAAGAAGTGACACACACGGGAATGCAGTCACAGTCATCTGTTGGGTGAATAATACGTTTGTCCAAGAGGGTCTTTTGTGATGTTTTTAAGACGGCAAAGATTTTGTTTTGGCACCAGCAGTGGTTAAAGTTCTCCTTTCCCAACCGCGACACCTTGGCAGCCCTCCTGCTGTTTGTAATTTTAGAATGAAAATCCTCTTGCCAGGTTTCTATTTAATCCTCGGAGGCGTCTTAGTTAAATAAAGGTTAATAGAAATGAACAATTGTGTGCTCTCACAGTGTGCGGAAGAACACACACCGTGACACTCAAGTACCTCAAACAACATCCATCTCAATCATTGGGGGTACCCTGATAGGTCACAGAGAGGGAGGACGCCACCTTAGGCTACTTTATGCCATCTGGTCTATGTCAGGGTGTACAGTGAAGGTGTGTGTGTGTGTGTGTGTGTGTGTGTGTGTGTGTGTGTGTGTGTGTGTGTGTGTTTGAAGGGGATGAACATGTAGCATAGTCTTAGATGCTAGTCATAGAGTTTGTAGTCTGCTATCAACTAATGACATTCATTTCTTATTGAAGTATACTTAATTTAAGTTTTAATCATACTGTGACACAGGTTCAACCTATGTCTGCGTGGGCCATCACACGCCATCACACCTTGAATGCAGTTGGGTGTTTCCATTTGGGCGGACAACTTATGTTAAGGTTGCCTTTTAATAATTTTTTCATTCAGGTAAAAATCATTTATAACAAAGGAGATCAAAACTGCCCCCTGATCACAAGATCTCCTTACTTAATATATTTAATTCAACATTGACACAGTAATCAAAGTCACTTAGTTCATACAGCACCTTTTGAACACACACAGACTGAAACAAAACAGACAAAGCAAGGTAAGTTTATTATTTGTATAGCACCTTTTTTTTTTTTAGCAATTCAGAGTTCTTTACATACGGCAAAGAAATTCATTAGAACAACATTTAAAAACACATCAAAAATAAAATTAAAAAAACAGTACAGTATATATACAAATTATAACATTCACATAAGTCGATTATATGTAGATATTTGAACAGAGTTTACTATTGAATTGTCTAACAAGAAAGAGAAAGCAGTACAGAAACTGAGCGCTTTGTGTGGGCGAGAGGCAGAGTGGATGCGGAGTGAAGCTGAAAATGAAATTTTATTTGATAATTACGTAATGTAGTGTAGTTCTGTGTAATTCTGTGGTTTAGCTGCGATGTATGGCACTACAGTGGAAGAGTTGAGTCTGTATGAAGAGTGAACAGAAAAAATAAATCTGCACACTTGACTGTGTGACAGATGTGTCAGAGGGCTTCAAAACTTGACCAGAGCTCCTCCAAACTGTCTGTCTTACTGCTGGTTTATGTATTGCTTTAATATTATTTCAGTCTAAGCAATCTTCATTATATGAGCAAGCATTACAGTGGATCCTAATCTGTTCTTCCCTATATATATATATATATATATATACACACAGATGTTGGGTGAATGATTGGGATAATTTCCTCACCATTGCTGAATACATACAGTAAGGATTTGTGGTGATGCTTGTTTAAAGATCATAAATAAAAATACCAGCAGTAACTGAGACAGTGTGCATGTTTTATTTTAACTTGCATTCAAGGGATTAACCTCAGACAGCAGTCTCATGTAGGTCAAACTGAGGTTGAGCGTGCGTTCAGCAGACCTACGTCATCCACGTGTATTAGTCAGAGTGCAGGTGAACAGTTTAAGATGAAATAGCATTAGACCACCAACAGTATTGCAGGCCCCCCCTGTCCACTCTCTTTGATATATTTGCCTCCCTTGAGGGTCTTATCCATTAATCATCATGCATGACAGTGTCAAGAGGTCAGAGATTTACAGAAAGAGGAGCACACCATGTTTCTTGAAATGAGTCTCTGTTTTATGGCCTACTGTGTAGCCATAAAACATTTGCTAGGTAGGCAGTTGATCTATCAAGCCTGCCTCCTCGTTTCTTCCTCTTCTCACTCCCTCAGAGGTCAAATTCCCTCAAGGTGTTGTTTACCAATCTGTGTCTTCTCAGGGAAGAAGATGAATCAGAGAATCACAGCATTGCGTGTAAATGTCTAAAATGTGCTCGCCTTCGACAGATAGCGACGACAGTGTCTTTTACAGAGGTAAGGGTCTTCTCAGTTCAGATATAAGACCTCAATAGATCTCACAGGCGTAGCATAGGCTCTGTCCCAGGCTACATCTTTCTCCTCTTGTCTCCTCTCTGTGCTGGCTATGTTTGACTGGGGTA